AGACGAAGACGAGGATGGATTTAACTCGCGGGGACGGGGGCGGGTATCATGAAACTTGTACCCGACCCGCCCCGTTGCCATCCCTACTTACAAGTCCCACATCTCTTAGGAAATAAGATAATTAAAAAGTATATAAACTAAAAATAAGGAAATTAAAGAATATACAAGTAGAGAACAAGCCACTAGAGGTAAGGTCGTAATTAAAGAGTATATAAGTTATGAATCATTTCTTAAATTTTTAATGACAATAACAAAAAAATATTAAATGTTAGTAAAAAAATGCTACAAAACTTATATATTTTTCTTGACCATTATAAAGGTTTTTACCAACATCCAGAATAATTGTCGATATATGTTTTATAAATGACTAATGTAAAAATACTGAAAAAAGATTTTGCAACCATTTTTGTTGTTACTAAAAGTCTATTTTATCGTAGTCAATTTTATTAATTTTACATTAGTTTATCCATAAATCTTTTGGATGTTGTTAGCATATATACTAACAGCAAGATCATCTACCAATAAGTTTATAATATATGGAAAGAATGAGGATTCTACTCGCAAATATATCAGACTACACGTATAATTTATCGTAAATAATTTTCATTTACATATAATTAATATTATTTTAAACCAAAAAAATATTTGTGTTTTTGTAGATACCAAGTTGAATTAATGTATTATAATGAATTATTATGTGACATTGTACCTGGTTTTTTAATTAATTGCAAAACAGCTATTTAATTTGCATGTCATCCTTTGATGTTAGGTAAGTTATTATTATATATGTCATTTATTATGTTATATAATAAAACAACATATGATTACAATTTTTAAAATTTATAATTTAATATCTTTAAACAATTTTGTTCATCTCATGTTTTTAATCGTATTTTTCCGGGTAATATTGCTATTTGAGAATGTTCCCAAAATAACCAACGTCATATACAACCCAAATTTAACAAAATTCAAGGAGTAACAAAATAGGTAACTAAAAATTTAAAATTAATTTGATTCGTAATTTCATCAGTTCTTTCATTTCAAGTCATATTATATCATTTTTATATAACTGTAATGAAATCTTAATTTTCATGTTACAGTAAATTTGGTTTCAGATTCGACAAATATGCGATATGAAAAATCCAAAAATAGACGAAGCAACATGTCTTCTGTTTACAACAAAACTAACAAAGAAGATCGAATCAAATCATATACTTTAAGTTACATGTTGTCTTTTTCATTGTCTTTTTTTCAAGGAATGTAATAGACTATTCTTAATATGTATTTATAAATAGTCTTATATCTTGTATTGCTTGATGTTTTTCTTTCATGTAATTATATAATTATGTTCACTCATTAAAAATAACAACAAAACTTACAAAGAAGATCCAATCAAATCATATACTTTAAGTTAGATGTTGTCTTTTATGTTGTCTTTTTCAAGGAATGCAATAAACTATTCTTAAGGTGTATTATAAATACTCTTATTGCTTGATGATTTTCTTTCATGTTGACTCATCTACCCATACCAATTATAAAGGTAATAATGGGGCATGTAATTATAAAGGAGATAAGTTTTAGAACTACTCTTTTGATTTTCATTTTTTATATTAGATATTATTGTACCTAGATTTATATTATTTTTTTAAAAAAATTAAAAATAAATATATAAAGACATGAAGTGTCTCTTTTCCTATACTAGTTAAATTAAAAAGTTATTATGCATTTTTTAAATTAATAACTATTTTAAGAAATTAATATTATTAGTAAAAATTTATTTATTAAAAAGAGATTTACAAAATGTCCCGTAGGTTACACAGGTACTGATACTAGTTTAAAAATAAAGACATGAAAATGTGGTTGAAGCAAACAGGTTGTGCTAGTTTAGTTGTTTCAAGGTGAAGTGATTCAATTTCGAAAGCGTTTAGTTGGAGTTGAGATGCATCTAGAATATCAGAAGAATCATCTATATAAAAATTGGACCTAAGGCGACATGAAGCAATTTTAAAATATTATGTCCGTATTAAAAATTATTAGTTTAAGTAATTTATTAGTGTTCTTTAATTAAAGATCAGAATTTGTTTCTAGTATTGAATATACTAAAAATATCACTTTACTTTTATAAAATCAAACCGATCACGAAATTCAAATTTTAAAAAATAATTGAAGAAGTAATTGATGGTTTGACTCTATAAATTTAAAAGAAACCAGTATGAAAAAATGTGGACAGTTTTATAAATAAAACAATACAAGAAATTCAATAATATATATACAATTAATAATTTGTTACTATAAATTATTCATTAATATATAAAATATTTAATAGTGATATACTATTAATATAAAAAAAAATACACAATTAACTAATAAAAAATCACAACTCATATTATTTTTAATAGTTATAGTATAAGTTAACAAATTTATCATTTTTAATAAATTGTAGTTAAATTATAATATAAAATTAATTTATAGCATCAACCCATCACCATTAAACGCATAAATATAAAAACATTTTTATCATTCCGATTGTTTTAAACTTCATATAGATTGATTTTTATTAACTATTAATTTATTAAAAAAACAAATACGCTGAACATATTTTATTATTTTATTTTCTAAAATAAGAATCAATATTGAAAAAAATTTGAAGTTTAAAAAATAATGAAAAGCATTTCAATATTGTCTAAAATTATCCATATTTTTTGTTTGACACGCTGTACAAAGCGCAGTTTTGTACATTGACAAAAATAATCTTGATTTTGTAATAAAACAAATACGTTCTTTAAAAAATATCCAATTCATTTGAATGATAAAACGTTTAAAAAGAAAAATACAAGTCCACGTGTTCATTTTCATGATTATTATTTTGATAAAAACTATTGAATTACAATATTTATTTAGTTATTTGAAAAAAAGTAACTAAATTTAGCTAAAAAATTCATCGACTCATTTCGTATTATAATTCTGTATAAAGGAG